CGCTGTTATGTAAATACCTTGTTTGCCATCGAAGGTGCACATTCCTGTTTTGGTAAAGCAATTATATTTGTCGGGGTGGGTGGCTTTGCTTCTGTTGCGGTGGCCCTGGGACGTCAAAGAGATTTTGATATACTCTCAAACAAAATCTTTTGGGGAATGTTAATTCCTCCCCACCAGACAATGCTGACTTATGACTGTTAATATAGGGAATGAGACCCCCGAATTTTAGGCATACGTTGAATGCTTCTTCATTTGAGGCAGAAGCATCTTCTAATCAAACACCGAGGAAGACTTCTACCATCAAAGGACAAAAAAACCACTATTACTAATGAGTGGCAAAGACTAATTACCTGAGCTTATTTACTTATTTTTATTGCGGTTTTGGTGAAAGTCCAGAGAGCCAATTGGTTTCCATTCAGCAATTCATGCACATTTCATTTTGTGACAGTGATTGTAAGCCCTTCTATGTCTTCCTTGTGTTTCCTTCTTTCTTATCCCTTCCTCCATTCTGAGAGTTGCCCATGGGCAAATGATGATATCATATAATTGATCTAAGGGATTTGTACATTCTGGTATCATTGTTTACCATTTAGGCCTGTTTATCATCACAGGGGTGTGTTTAGTTCCAGGCTTGAAGGGTGTCTAAGGTCCATAGTCTTGGGTGTTCCACCAGTGTTTATTAGATCAGAAATCCTGCCTTTCTTTTATGATTTTGAGTTTTGTTCCACATTTTCTCTCACTCTATCCAGGACCTCCTACTGTGGTTCCTTTCGGAGCAGTTGTTGTAATCTCTTTCAGAGTAGCTCGTAGTGGGAGTCAGACACTGTCTAGTTCTTTTGATCTCGGAGCCGTGGAAGCTAGGGTTTGCACGGTCCATTCATTAATCCTTACATCTCTCATTAGTTTCCTTACATCTCTGGTTTTCTTGATCCTTCTTTGTTTCGGATGGGGAGAGACTAGTAGTTGCACCTCAGATGGTCCCTATCAAGCTTTTAGGACACCAGTTACTACTCACTAAAGTAGGATGGAGAACATTGTCTTGTAGACTCTGTTATACCAATTGCCTTGGTGTCCCCAATGACTATGATCCTGAGGTCCCCAGGCCCAACGACTTGGCCCCTTAAGGTGTTTGGTAGGGCTGAGAAGTCTTCGTAACTTTGTCCACAGTATGCCCTATTATATTAATGGACATATTTGCTACGCATATAAATGTAAACAAGAAGACTTCAAAAAGTTCTTGGAAAAATGTTTTCATAATCTTTTCATTTTATGTCCCATGTATTTTCTGAAGCAACCTCATAAAACTATTCTTTATCAAGCCTCCCTATATTCATTGGTGTAGACTCATTGACCTTTTCACCTCTACTCACCTGGAGGGTCTATTTGTAGATGGTTGAGATTACTGTTATTGAAGAAATCTGTTACTGTCTTTATTCTTGTGCTCCAATGAGTGTCTTTCTTTGTCTTGATCATTTGTGCTGATCTCTCCCTTATCGTGTACTCTTTCCTTTCACCCAAGTGACTCTGTCTGCCCCCCACCCAGTGATTGATGCTCCTTTCCCTTTCCTCCTTTCACGCGCGCTGACTCACTGCCACCGGGTGGATACGACTCATGGTGACCCTGCTGGGCAGGGTAGAGCTGCCCCTCTGGGTTTCTGAGACTGCGACTCTGTGGAAGTAGAAAGCCTCATCTCTTGCCCTTTCCTCCCCTCGTAAGCTTCAAAGAAGGTTTCTTTCTGAGTGTAAGCTTTTTGTTGACTTTTCTACATTAATCGTCTCATGCAATATTTGTCCTTTTGTGAATGACTAATTTCACTCAGCATAGTATCCTGTAGATATTGTGTTATGAGGTGTTTTCCAGACTGCTCACTATTCCTTCAAGTTGCACAGTGTTCCCTGTGTATGTGTCCTAGTCTGTCCCTTCATTCATTTAGGGACACGGGCTGTTTCCGTCGTTTTGCTGTTGTGAATAATGCTGTGAAAAACGTGGGTGTGCACACGTCTGTCTGTGCCATGGCTCTTACTTCTTTCTCTAGGTTATCCACCTAGTGGTCACATTGCTTAATCATATTTCTGTTTTCAACTTTTTAAGGAAAAGCCATGCTGATGTCCACAATAGTTGCACCATTTTACAGGCCCAACTGTAGGGTATGAGGATTTTAATCTTTCTACCCCCTCACCAGCATCTTTCGGTTTTTGTTTTATTTTGAACTTTGCTGTCATTGCTTTACTGGCTACTGATCTCAAGCATTTTGCATATGCTTTTTTGCTGCCTGAATATCTTCTTTGGTGAAGTGTCTATTCATGTCTTCTGCCCATTTTAAAATTGAATTGTTTGTTTACTTGTTGAAGTGTTGATGGTATTATATATTTTTTTAAAGATAGCTCTAGTATGTAATTACCATAAACTATTTCCCTGTCTGAAAGTTCTCTTTTGACTCTTTTGGTGAAGTCTTTTGATGTGTACAACTATTTAATTTTTAGGAGGTTCACGTTTCCTGGTTTCTCTCCGACGGTGTAACCACGACACCACCAGGGCTCCAGCGTGTTTGATAGTGGATGGTGCTTCCATGTATCAGGATCCCTAAATTTACCGCTCTTCTGTCTTTGATGATCTTTATAGTTAGAAGCTTTACATTAAGGTTTTGGTCTATCTTGAGTTAGCTTTTATATGTGGTGAGAAATATGAATCCTGGTTTACATTTCTGCAAATGAGTATCCTGGTTTGTCAGCATCATTTTTTAAAGAGACCCTTCTTCATGTAATGGGCTTTGGTCCTCTGTAAAAGAACAGTTGTTCATAAATGGGTGAATTTACTTCTCAGTACCCAATTCTATTCCATTAGTCTGTATGTCTATCTTTGGATCAATAGTACGCTTTTTGGACGACTGTGAATGTGTAGTTTTGAGACTGGAGAGTGTGAGACCTCCTACTCTGTTCTTTAGTACAATCTAGCTTATCTGGGGTCTTTTCTCCTTCCTTTTAGTAAAGTTGAATTGACTTGATCAGAGAGAATTTGATTGGTTTGGGCTTTTGATGATGTTGGTGATTCATTTTCCCTCTCTTTAAGGAATGTTGATTGAATCTGGATTGTGATTCTATTATATCTGTAAATTACCCTGGATAATATTGAAGTTTGAATAACGTTAAATCTTTCTATCCATGAGCATTGACATTCTACCATTTATGTAATGTTTTATAGTTTTCTTAGAATAGGTTATCTTGTGTCTCTGGTTAGATTTACACCCAAATACTTCATCTTTTGTGTGCTTATTGTTATTGGTGTTTTTATGATTTCATTTTTAGAGCTCTTTTTGCTAGTGTAGAGGAATCCAACTGATTTTTTATATGTTGACCTTATACCTTGGACTTTTCTAAATTCTCCCTTTAGATGCAGTACTTTCTTGTTACATTTCTGGAATTTCCTATATATAGTATCATAACATCTTCAAATGAAGAGAATTTTATTTCTTCTCTGCCAATTTTGATGCCCTTTAATTTTCTTTCTTGCCTTATTGGTCTGGTAGAACTTTCAGTACAGTCGAGTGATTTTTCAAAAGGGAATAAATATAATGTTAGGGACATAGGTCTATGTACATATGTTTATATGTTACGTATTAAGGCAGCAGACATTGGAGCTGTACTCAAGTTCTCCCTCAATGCAAGAACACTTTGTTCTAATATTCTGTGATTCTTACTTTCCCAATATGATCACTGAAGACAAAATGGGTGTGTAATCTAATGTGGTGAAGAAAGGTGATGGTGCCTGGCTATTACAAGATATATCATCTGGGGTCTTAAGGCTTGAGGTATAACAAGCAGCCATCTAGCAGGGAAGCAACAAAGCCCACATGGAAGAAGCACATCAGCCTGTGTGATCACGAGGTGTTGACAGGATCAGGTATCAGGCATCAGAACACCCAAAACAACTATTTCGATGCAAATGATGGGGGTTGCAGTGGAGACCCAAAACCCATCTGTAGACAAGTGGACATCCCCTCCAAGAAGGGTCACAAGGAAGGGAAGACCCAGCCAGGCCACAGGATAGCACCAATGAAACACATAATATTCCTCTAGTTCTTTAATGCTTCTTCCCACCCCACCCCACCCACTATCATCACCCCAGTTCTATCTTACAAATCTGGCTAGACCCGAGCATGTACACTGGTACAGATAAGATCTCTCGACACACAGAATCTAGGACAGATAACCCCTGAGGAACAATAATGAGAGTAACAATACCATGAGGGGAGGGGGAGGGTGGGAGAGAAAGGGGAAACCTAACGCAATGTTTGACAGATGTGTAACCCCTCCCCCCAAGAATCCTGCTCCAATCAGACCTCTGCTTGCAATACTTTAAAATGGCCCGCTATGCTGGTTGACAGTTTACCACTACATATGCCTCCTTTCTTACTGGTTTTGTTAGTTTATATATTTTTTCAGTCTCTTCCTTTTTTAAAAAAATTTTAAATTGTTTTATTAGGGGCTTATGCAACTCTTATCACAATCCACACATACACCAAGTAGAGAAACACATGTAGATCCTTGTAATCAATTCCCCCTTTCCAACCCTCCCTCCTTCTACCCTCATTCTCTTCCTTTTATTAATCTTTCATCTACTTCTTTATCTTTTCCCCAGGAGCTCTGGGCCCCAAGGTTGTCATCCCTGTCTGTTTTATTTGGTTTCTTGAGTCTTTATTGTAGAGTCTAGATAGTGTTTCTCTACTTGGTTTTCCATTTTGTATCCTCTCCCCTGGATTGATTTGTTTGTTGTTGTTGGCAGGATTACCTGTCACTTTAAAAAGACATTTTATGTTTTGAAAGGCAAGTATGTCCCAGGTAAATAAAGGAATACTGTCCCTGTTTTCTGCGTATATTATCTGCTTCTCTTATAGATTATGAAGGTCTTTTAGTTCAATGTGTTTATTAATCCTGTCTGAAATTACTGTGTCATTCACTAATCCAGCAATACCATTGAAACCTCTTCTTTTTCATTTTAGAGACTATATAGAGAAGCTTGGGACAAGGACAAGACTCAAATCCACATCATGCCTGATACACCTGACATTATTTTGGCTAAAGCAAATTTAATCAATACAAGTGATGTAAGTTTCTACATTCAGCATGTATTTTCAGAAAGCTCATTGCAATTGCTTCTAGGACAGTAAAGTTATTTGGAAGTTCTTTGGGATTGCTGGGCCAGCTTAATAAACTACAGTGGACTTAGAATTCTCATTTAGTGCCTTTTAGGCACTGAAACACTGGCACTCCCTATCTCAGGCAGAGTTGGTGGTGATGTAATCATCTATTATCACACCTAACATTGTAATGTGAGATTCGTACCACGTTACCTTAGGAACAGCAGAGATCCTTGGAGGCACAGATGCTTTGCATCGACTCTATAGGACTCACCTAGCAAAGTGTCCAACACATAGTAGACACGCAATGATATTTTGAGGGAATGAAGATGTAATTCTCTTGTAGAAGAATTTCATTTTGATTACAATTATACCATAAACTTATTAAGATATACTTTTGGAAATTAAATCATTTAAAGACAGACTTCCAACTCTACTAGAATGACTTTTATATTAACTAACTATCTGAGTAATATCACAAAAGTTTAAACTACAAACACAAGATCAGGGCCCATAGGATTTAAAGCAATATGATATCAGGATTTAAAAACAACAACACACATTTTAAATAATAATCTTGATTATTTCATGTTGTAACAAACTGATGAAGCAAGTTATTTCATGTGAGCATTTAAATTTGAGATTGAAACTTTCCTTCCATTTTAACTTTAAATTGGAAACTTCAAAATCATGAAGGGCTACAGAAGTGGACCTTACTTTGTATGGTGCCAAGGCTCTAGATCAAAGTGCATTAGCTACATGAAGGCAGCAGCCCATTCCGCATAATTTTTCCTTATAACAGAGTTAGACGGAAAGACATTTGCTTTTGTTTTCTAACAAGCCACTCAAGGTTAATTGAAAAACAGTGCCTCTGTGGATTCCGTTTCATTTATGTTCTACCGCATTCTCCAGAGTTTGAGAATGAACCTCCTGCTGTCACGTCTATTCTGATTCACGGGACAGAGTAGAATTGCCCCCTAGGCTTTCCAAGGCTTTCCATCTTGGACTCCGGCATCTTTCTCCTCTGGAGCAGCTGGTGGAATTGAACCAATGACTTCCAGACTGGCAACCACTGTGGCATCAGTTTGGGAAGAGCAAACATTGAATTCAGTTGAGGTAGTCAATCGAAGACCTTTCACGTTTAAAACAGGATCGTTAGCAATCAATGGGCATAATTTCCCATGACGTTTGAGTACACGAGAATGCAGACACCACCCTCTTGCACTCTTCAAATAGTTAGCACATTGCAGCCATTGTGCTGCAGTTGCTTCTGGCGAACTTCTTTTTATCCCCCCACCAAAGTGAACTTTTTTTACCTCTTAACAGAAACTCTACCGAATGGGTTATGAGGAACTGAAGAAAAAGGGTTATGATCTTCCCCTGGACGCAATACCAATCAAAGCGGCAAAAGCTTCCCGGGAAATTGTCAGTGATGTAAGGCTTGATCCCCTGCTTGTTTTGATTTGATGACCATTTATAACTTCAAAGCAGTCTTAATTTCATTTTAAATTGAACAAAATCTTCCAAGGAGTAACAAATTAAAACAGTGAAGTGACCCCAGAGATGTAGGGTGGGGTGAGAATAAGATCAAGGGTGCATTTATTATGTATGGAATTTGTAGCTGAATTTAGCCTTTAATCCTTTCTATTAAAAAATAGAAGTCAGTGGCTCTCTAGGCTCTTAGTAAAATCCTTAGAATTAATGGGCTTTGTAATTTACCACAAATGAGACCAGTGTTTTTACTTTAGTACAAGTACAAAGAAGGCTATCGCAAGCAGCTAGGCCACCACATTGGGGCCCGGGCTGTACATGATGACCCCAAGATGATGTGGTCCATGCATGTGGCCAAGATCCAGAGTGACCGGGAGTACAAGAAGGACTTTGAGAAGTGGAAGACCAAATACTCCAGCCCAGTGGACATGCTGGGCGTGGTGCTGGCCAAGAAGTGCCAGATTCTTGTTAGCGACATCGACTACAAAAACATCCCGCATCAGTGGACCTGCCTGCCTGACCAGAATGATGTCATCCACGCTCGGCAGGCCTATGACCTCCAGAGTGATGTGAGTCCAAAATTTCCCCTTAGCCAACAAATCATCATATTTGCTTCTCTAAATATCAAATGCTTTCAAAGTCAGAGGAGTTGAATATTATTAATGACCAAGCCCTATCTACTCACCCATTCATCTGGAGACACCAATTTTCTTTGGGGGCAAAGAAAGAGTCAGCAATGCCCCCATTGCTCTAGAGAAAGCTTCTTTTATGTGGAGAGTCTTTCTCTATGTATTTCTGTTTGAGGGATTTTCAAACATTTGTTTTATATATATATATATACATATATATATAAAGTTCACAAGATGTCAAGGTTTTCAAACTCTAATAAACTCTAGCGTTAAGTATATACAATAATTTTTCAGGGACATGTGGTTTTGCTTATGTTAAGTGGTGTGTCACTTGAAATTTCAGAATTTGTACAAGGCTGATCTTCAGTGGCTAAAAGGCATTGGTTGGCAGCCTAGTGGTTCTCTTGAGGATGAGAAGAACAAAAGAGCCACCCAGATTTTGAGTGACCATGTTTACCGTCAACACCCAAATAAATTCACGTTTTCCAGCCTCATGGATTCCATGCCAATGGTTTTGGCAAAAAACAATGCTATTACCATGAACCACGTACGTCCTTTCTTTCCTTGAGTTCTTTTATTATTTTGCTTATAGTAAAATTAAAGTATCTTTCTATCATTAAGATATCACATCCAAAATGTAGTGCTTGATATTGAAGTTTATAAATTAAGTATTGTATACCCTAGCGACTTGAGACATCTAGACCTGAAGATGTCATACTTCACAGAACAGAATCTCTTTGTTATCATTAGGCATCAAATTATTTTAATGTGTCTCTTCACTACTAGCCTGAACTAGTAACATATTTGTTTGTTTTAGCACCTTTACACAGAAGCTTGGGATAAAGATAAAACCACTATTCACATCATGCCAGACACCCCTGAAGTTATGCTGGCTAAACAAAACAAGATAAACTATAGTGAGGTAAGCATTATATTTGTGGCATATGAAGTATTTCCCTTTCAATGTACTTTATAAACCACATTTAGGATTATTTGTGTCTCCTTTAGAAACTATATAAACTTGGCCTAGAAGAAGCCAGGAAGAAAGGCTATGATATGCGACTAGATGCCATTCCCATCCGGACAGCGAAAGCTTCCAGGGACATTGCAAGTGAAGTAAGTAGCCCTAAACATTCCATTGAACTTTGGGCCCAAAATGTCATTCTTTCTTGAAGATTTATTATACAGAAAGTAAGCTTTTGAGGTCAAAACTGTTGCTAATAGTTCATTTTTCAGGAAACCATTTAAAATCTGGTAATGAAATTTTTAACACAAAGTTGAGCAAAGGTTGCTTGCATAGCCACATGCATTTTAAAGTATGTCCTGTCTTTTTTCCTTAATTTTAATTTTCTCCTGTATGTACATATTTAGCAACATGTGTCGTGTCAACATTTTTCACGTGTACAAGCCAGTGCTATTCACTATGTTTATCATGTTCAATCAGCACCACTACTCATTTCCAATTTTTTCCATCACCTATAACAGAAACTGTGTTCAGGCATCTTATTTTAAATTTTCCACACAAAGCATATCTTGTATAAAATTTATCTCCTTGTAGGATTTCTCTAAAACTCAATCCATGTTCTATGACCCAATGAATTTACATGGATTGAATGAATGG